TGACAATACAATGTAGTAGTATTATTTTTGAAATTATGTCACATCTCTAATGAATCTTGTGAATTGTGGTCTACATAATAAATAAATAAAATGATTTCTCTCCACGTGAATTGGATTAAATCACTTTTCAATGATAAATGTTTAGGCACAGTTCCCGCAAAAAAATTAATCGTGCAGTTAAGTCTCTCTCTGAATTAATTATAATTTTTAATTAAAAATAAGAAAAATATAGGAGCAAACTAGCGACTCAACATGTCTAGCAAAGTTTTGAAATGTGGAAAGAGTTCTAGAAATTGTAAACTTCTCTCATACCACATCATCAAAAATAGAAGCAAATAATTAACCATTGGAGATGTTTTTCCTTGCACTGCCTCTAGAAATTCTCCAATTGAAAATGTTATTGAATGTTGTGTAAAAGTTCAATTTAAATCAAATTTTCAACCAAAAAACTTATTTTTCCATAAATTATAGATGTTGAATTTAAATTATCACTACATGGAATATACTTTTTTTTGTTTATTTTCTTAAAAAAGTTTGAAGGTGATACGTATTCTATGTTTTTAAAAACTTGATGGTACACGTATTAATATTATATTTATAGTAAATACAATTTTATACGAACTGACTGTTTCGACTTAAGCTACAAGTCGTTATTTAACATTTAAAATTGGGCCCACTGAGCAAAATTTCTGGATCCGTCACTGATTGCCTGATTGGTAGGGCTGAGCATGAGACTCGGAGAATTCCGAACCGTTCAGAAAATTGAATCGAAATCACTTCGAACCGAAAAATAACCGTTGACCGTTTGACTTTCTCCGAACCGAACCGAACCAAAAAAATAATTGGTACGGTTCTGGAGATTTCACAAATATCCGTACCAAGAACTGAACCGAACCGTCCCATACTGTACCGAAATTAAGAACCGAATTATAACATTAGATGTGTTATTAATATATTTTATGTCACCTTTGATCTATTATAATATAGTAATAATAACTATTAACCTTCACTTAACTTTCATGCTCAGTAATACTTGATCTACAATTGAGTTTTTTCTATTATAAAACAATTATTTAAAATAACATGAAAAGTTAAAGAATATTTCTTTAGGAAAAAATATTATATTTTG